GTGCGATCCTGGAGACATCGATGCTGTGATACTTTCATGTACAGGAAAAGTCGTCTGGGGCTCATATGTCACATGTAAAGTCAGCCAGCGCTCACAGTCCGGTGTGTTCATCTCCGGCTTCACCGACCTTGATCTGGATCCTGAGAAAGTGAAGCAAGAACTCTCCCATGGCAGCCAGGAGGCAGTAAAAGCTGTGGGAATTTCATGTTCTCGGGAAGCCAGTCGGGCTTGGTTCAAGCGTTGATAAGTGACACAATGGCACTGCACAGGCTTTGAGTGGGAAGAAGATGACAAAGGTTATCGTGCTTCATGGGAAAGCCGTGGGTGAACGCTCTGCAAGTGAGTACCAGCGGGTCTTGGTGCCAGAACAGACAAGTTTGAGGTCGAGGTGATTGATGCGTTCAGAGGCTTGTCGGCCAGAGCTTGGATCAGGAATGATCACGACGCTGCAGCGCGTGCTCTTGCTAGCCTCCCGATTCCTGATTTACGACTCCCAATTTACAAAACTGAGTTTTGGGGCTCGGTGCTCGTCAGCATTCCCGTCTATACTTTACTCACGGCTGATAGCGACAAAGAAATGAAGAAGTGCGGATAACACAGTTGACTTTGAAGGTATGCTACTACTCTTCATTCTTTGTAAAGGTATCATGATAGAAGCGAATGCGTGGAGAAAGCAAAGCAGGAAGGAAGCAAAAGAATGAAGTAATCCAGTAGTGGCAGTCGAAGGAGCAAAGGATTGTCCAGTGTGTTTATGCTAGATTGTCAACACTCATGCTGTTGACAGTTACCAAGAGGTGTTCCTTGTCGTTAACTTTGCAGCTTTGCTCAACAAATGGACAAGTTGTGCAAATCTTCCGCAAGCTAAAATGTCAAAAGATAAGTAGTTTGTTATATATAGTATTAGGTTTAAGCGATGTAGCCCTCTTAACTCGATGGAGGAAGCTGTTTTGGATTTACTATGTTTTTATATTTTTCACTTTGATCTTCCCATAGTAAGAATAAGAAAGCAAAATGCTCGCAGGCAAAAATTCATAATATAGCATTCTAATGTTTAATCTTTTAAGCATTTTCCCTAAAAAGAAACTTCCTCCTAATTTACAATACTATGGGTTTAATATTTCTCTAAAGGTACCACTGCTCACAAAGGCATTACACCCTGTGGTGCTTATTTATTGGGGTTGTCCATGACTTGAATATGAGCTCTTCAAAACTATTTATAACACAAGGGTGCAAGCGATTGAAAATGCATATCATGTTGCAAAAGATATATAAGATGTTCAACACCAAAGTGTTAGTAAGTAGCACCTAATATGATATGTAACTCTCAATAAAAGCCTTGAAGCTCAATACAATTGTTTGCTTGTAGACTCTTTCTTGATGTTGAAAATCTTACACATCATGATACACATCATGATGCTACATGATATACATCTTCAATCGCTTGCACCCTTGTGTTGTCAGCAACCTTATACTCATATCATGAACAACCCTAGCAAATAAGTGCTATAAAATATGGTGCCTTTGTCGGTGGTGGCAACTCAATAAAAGTGTCGAACCCATAGCATTGGAAGAAATTCATCCTTGGGGAAAATGCTCATCAAACTAAAAGACTAACACTAAAATGTTATGTTATGAACTCTTACCTGTGAGCATTTTACTTCCATATGAATTCTATTGAGTGGGAAGATTGAAGTGGAAGGTGTAGAACCACAGCTATTTCAGAACAGCCTCCTCCATCATAGATAGCAAACTACTTATCTTTTTGCTTTATCTCTCCCACAGCTCGTCCATTTGCTCGTCCATTTGCTGAGCAAAGCTGCAAAGTCGACGACGAGTAACACCCTGCTGGCAGCCTTCGTTGGCAAAAGTGAGCTTGTACTCGTTGACGATTGGGCTGCGTCGACTGCCACTGCCACTGCTGGGTTGCTTCGTTCTTCCAGGACGCTGCTTCCTGCTTTGCTTTCTCCACACATTCCTCGTCCCCATGTACATACAAGGAATGCCACTGGAGCTCCCACTGATTTTTCCAGCCCGGCTAAGTCGACCCCGGATTTTCCAACCAGAACTCTCATCATCCCAAGTGGACGTCAGTGAGATCTGTCGCTCCTTCTGGTTGCATTCATTGCAGCTTCGTCCAGCAGGCCGTCTTCAAAAGGAGCGCCTTCCACCAGTTTATCTAGAGCTGCCTTTGCAAGCTCCAGGACGAGATCTCGATTCGCTTCGTACCATACGCCTTGGGAGATACCTTCACAAAGTGGTTTCCTGCTTGTCTCTCTAGGCGTTAAACTAGTTTTAAACATAAACATTAGCTAGTTTTAATGAAAACGAAAAATAACTTATAAAGGTCTTCTCATCTATAATACTTATTCTATTACTTTATTAAAACACATCACCTTTCAATGCTTCGCTTCATTTTTCAATTCTTCAATATATGCTTCTTCTGCAGCTGCATACCGGTCATACCCTGGAGGCACTTCTTCATCGGATCTGTAAAACTCGAAGCCTAGGCCTGCTTCGTATAAAACTTCATCCAGTCGCTGAAAATATTCCCAGATTTGAGATGCAAGAGGGCAGGGTGGCCGAGGCACAATGAAGATTCCCAAGTCTGGATGTTTTTTGCAGATCCGTTTGAGGTTTTCGTATTCAATCCGTTGGACGCAGAAACGAGGATGGTATTGCGGGAAGTCTGCTCCCTGGACGATATAACCCACCTGAAAACGTACACAAATAAACATACAAAGAAACAGAGAATAGAAACTGATACAAACCTGTTGATCAAGTCTCTTCATTGGTCCAGTGTAAGTCCTCTCTGCCCAGTCCTCATTTCGCAGGGGATCTCTTGAACACTGATACGTGTCGTGTCCCTTCGCTAGGCAGAGGTAGCATTTCTTCTGTTCATGAGCAAAAGGATCCACTCCAGGCTAAAAGAAGAAACAAAAAGTCAAATCTGGAAAATTCGTGAGCTTTGTTACCCCCTTGCAGTGTCTTTCCCAGTGGCCTCTCTCCTTACATTTTCTGCATTGGTCGATGAGTAATCCCTCCTTCTCACCCGGACGATGAGTTCCTATGATCTGGTACCTGTTACAAACAAAAGCAAGTAAACATCAAACTCAATCTCGGTTACCTTGCTCGTATGAGTTCGGCAGGGTTCTCGATTGCAAAAATGTCCACCTCCTTGGGCTTTTCCTTTGTGAACACATTGTGTTGCCCGTTGCTGCTGCCGCCGTAGGCCTTCTTGTGCTGCCCGTTGCTACTGCTGCCGTCGTAAGCCTTGCTGTAGTGCCCGTTGCTACTGCTGCCGCTGTAAGCCTTCTTGTGCTGCCCGTTGCTGCTGCTACTGTAAGCCTTCATCCTCAAAAAGGAAATCTCCAGAGCCCACAGGTAGCTATACCCTGTTCTTGAAAAGATGCGAGCTTTAATTCATCCTGTTTATCGAAGATCCCTTACCTAAGCAATGCAATCAAAGAGGGCCTACGGCGGAGAGGAGAGCTTTGAACAAGATGTAGCTCCGATGCGCGATCACAGCCTGGGCGGCACAAATAATTAGGTTTCCATGAGCGACCGAGCTTCCACCCCATGGCGATCGATTACCTGTCTGGCGGGAGAATCGATCGGCTGGGCGATACCTGGAGGATGCAATCGATCTCGAGATTACCTTACTTTTCTGGTGAAACCCTCAAACGCTAACCTTTATACCAAGCATATTCTTAGGTTGCATTACAAACGAACGGCCAGGATTTGTCCCAGCAACGATAGTAATAGAAGGTAGATCCAACGGCTAAAATTACCATTTATGCGGCTTACTTAATTTTTACACACACACACACATAATATATGTGTGTGTGTGTGTGTGTGTAAAAATTAAGTAAGCCACATAAATGGTAATGTGTGTGTGTGTGTGTGTAAAAATTAAGTAAGCCGCATAAATGGTAATGATCTACCTTCTATTACTTAATAATTGAAAATTATTTCATCTTATAATATTTTTAAAAATTAAAAATGATAAAAATATAAATTGTGAGTGTTCGGGATACATTAATAAATATATTAATTGGGGTTTAAACCTTTTCTTATATTCAAAAATGGATGGACCAAATTCAGTCTTAAATGGATAATCCATAAGTTTTAGTACTATAATTAGTGTATAATCTAGGCAGGGTAATACATATATATATACACATGTATTTACAAAACTTAGAGATGAATAATTTTTGGATGATAATTAAGTTATAGTTTCAATTTACTTTTTAAAAAACTGAGTAAATGACACACACGTATGATTAAATTTTTATATTCTTATAACACAAATTTTTAACTTTATACCAAGCATATTCTGAAGTTGCATATCAAACGAACGGCCAGGATTTGTCCCAGCAACTATAGTAATCTTAAGAGAGATGAGAAGGGAGTAAATGCTCCCCGAACAAACTAGCCAAGCAAGTGGAGGGAAGAGAAAGAGTACAAAAGAATCCACTTAAAGGTTTATTTTATCCACAATCCAGCAGCAATATTCGTAGATATTCAGAGTATATATTTAAAATATGCTATTGTGGTTTAAGTTACATATAGAGTCTATGCTGGTCTAAATAAAATTAAATAGATGTTTTAATTTTATAAAAAAATTTAGAATGAATAGTAAAATACACACACAGAATTATTATCTGGCTTTTAGAAAAAGCAATGCATATTATTTTTGAATTTTACCTATAGACTGATACGTTTACTTGTAATTTACAATTGATTCCTTTTGAGTTTTTGTTTTTTGTCTTCTCAATGCAATATTTATGCTAAAAGACCAATAAACTAAAATAAACAGTCAACTAGAGTTTGACCGGGTAGAAAAGTTAAATGGAACATTATAGAGGAACATAAATCCATTTTACTAAGCATATTTATTTCTAAAACATACATTTTTTCCTAATTGCAAAACATATTGATGCTTTCAACCTATATATAGGTCCATGTGTAGACAATGTAGAATTCAATGATGTGTATATATATATATTGCTGGTGTTTACACTCATGTAAAG